ATGGGGGACGTCGGACAGTTTGACCTTGAGATGGTCGCCGAACACATCGAGAATGCGACGAACAACCGACAGTACATCATAGTTATCACCGCGGGTCCTCCTTGCCCTGATTTCTCAGGCCTGCGGAGTCAGCCCAAAGGAACCGACGGAACCTCCGGATGGCTCTTCGGACACATGGTCGACATCGAACACCAAATTCGACGACGATTCACGGGCGTCCCGATTGAGACGATCTTCGAGAACGTGGTACCCCATCCGGACGTCCGAGACAATGTCGTGGAAATCACATCTCCACTGAACATGGACCCGATCATCATCGATGCCGCAGACTCTGGTGTTATGCACCGCAAAAGACTCTGGTGGACATCGATCCTCTGGGACACCATCGAAGAGAGACTACCTCGACTTACACCTTGGTCACTCGACTGGCGAATAGATGGAGAATGGCATCGACTCCACAACCCGATTGGCACAGACCTACAGCCCCAGATCTCCGCGAAAGGATATTCCTTACCACCGTGCCTACACAATGATAAGAAACTTTTTCACTGTTTGACTACACCCTCTACGTCGACTTTCGGACGAGAACCTCCTAGACAACTTCGAGACCGCACAACTTCACAAGAAGCATGGAATCGATGGGAACAGGACAAACGACGTTACCCGGTGTGGCAGTATGAAGAACAATTTCTCGTCACTTTACAGGATGGAACGTGGACAACAGCTCCTTCATCCCTACGCGAACAACTACAAGGCTTACCGATTGACCATACAGCAACTCTCGGAGACGGCGACGAGATCAAACGTTGTACTGCTTTAGGCAATGCATGGCACCTGCCTACGGCGATCTGGATCATCTTCCTACTCCTGCTGGGGACAGTCGACGCATCTATACCCGCGACACCTCGAGTATCCCCACTACAACAGATCACTTCCTTTTGGCTGCACCATAAGGTACCTTTTGGCCCACCACCCCGTACCCCGAATCATTACTACATGCCACAATTCTCCTGGACGGACCATCTCGAATGGGCACTGCATAGGGACACACACCTATCACCGAAGACACTCGACCCAACCCTCGAGTGGTGCCTACAACATCGACACACTTTCCACCCACTCATAAACTTCCAGAAGGCCGTCATCACCGATATCCGCGAACTCGTCGAGGACATGGAGGAACACACGATGGCTTGGTTCGACACTCTTCCAACACACGTACAACGAGCATATCGCCACAAGAGCTCGGTCACACAGATACCTGTCCTCGTTCACCTTCTCCGAATGATACAATACCCACAAACCGAGCTGATCTACCGCGAACTCTCCGAAGGCTTCCCCCTCATGGGGAAATTGACTCCGGGTATCAATTGGCATGTTCGACAAGACAAGAAGTACCTCGAACCCACTCCTATCGACGAGTTCTGCGAGAACAACCGACACTACATCAAGGAGAAGATCGACAAAAACTCTGTCGACGACCATTGGGAACTTATGCTCGACGAAATCTTAGCAGAAGTCGACCTCGGTCGGATGAACGGACCGTTCGAGGCACCGGATTGGTGGCCCCGCAAGGCGACCGTTCCCCCAAAGGGACGTCACCGAGCATTGCTGCCATTGCCTCACTCCGATCCATACATCGCCATGGCCTTTAGCATCGAGCAGACAGGTAGCGACGGCAACAACAAAGTCCGACGAGGAGAAGATTGGCGACGCAGTGGACATAACGCGACGTGCACGATGCACGACCAACCATACCACCACACGCCCGATCACTTCATATCCCTCGGACTCGCCACGATTCGACACGATCGACTTAAGCCCCTCTCTGTCTGGGGACATGACCACGACGGAGCCTATCGACAACTTCCACTACGAGATCCACGCGAGGCCTACGTGATGCTACTCACACCGGACGGCCCGACATTGTGGAGCCACAACGTCCTGCTCTTTGGTTCGGCAGCGAGTGTCTGGTCATACAACCGATTCGGCGACATTCTGGTTGCGTGCAGCCGCACGATGATTCTATCACCGGCGATGCACTATGTCGACGACTATGGATCCATGGAAGACTCCGATCTGGCCCAGGGCAGCTTCGAATCCTTCGAAGAATACAACGGTTGTCTACAGATCTCGATGAAACCCAGCAAAAGACAACCACCTCAAACCGCACATCGCATCCAAGGTGTCATCATTTCCTCTGACAACGACAACCTGGTACTTACTCCGTGTCCCAAGCGTGTCGAGAATATGTGTAAGCAGATCGACCTACACCTGGCAACTTCGTCACTATCACCCGAACAAGCCAGGAAGATGGCTGGGAAGTGCAATTTCCTCACTGGACGACTCTTCGGGAAAGTGGGCCGCGCGGCCTTGAAAGCATTGTATGCTCGCGCCCACTCTTACTCACATGCCCTCGACAAACCCACTCGATCCTCACTACTTTCACTCAAGGACATCATACAACATTGTCGACCGATGACGATACCACGACAACCGACTCGAACTACATACAGTGTCATCTACACGGACGCCTACTTCCGCCTGGGCGACCACACCTACAGGCCGGGGGACGACGACATCCCGAATTGGGACTCGAAATCTACGTCCGACATCGAGAACGGTTGGGCTGCAGTTTGCTTCCACCACGGTGATGTGCAAACGGCGGCTTACTTCCAGGGCCGTCTCCCCTCACTACTCGTACGACAATTTTCCTCCGACCAGGCTTTCATTTACCTCCTCGAAGCTTGGGTCGCTATCTTGGCTCCACTGGTCTTCGAGCCATGGCTCGACAAGTTTTACGTCCAGTGCTGCGACAACGAGGCTTCTCGACACGCCCTCCTTAAAGGCGTAGGCAAACACCAGCCCCTGAACTGCCTCATTGCGGCACACTGGACCTGGCATAATCGACGAAGTCTTGCACACCGACTCGAACGTGTTCCCACTAAAGCCAACATCTCCGACGGGATCAGCCGCTTCGAACACGTACCAGAGTCTGCGACATGGACTCGACTCGACTTACCTGTGGACGCTTTGACCACTAGGGCTGCGAAGATTATAGGAGATATTCATTTTGCTTCTTCTACGGGTTTTTCCGAATTACCCGAAATTCACAGATTGCACGATCAGTTGACTACGATGCTCGTTTGATTTATCTTTCGAGTGGCGTTCGCCTGCGATGGGAGGACGCGACCACCACCGATGGGAACCAGTCGGTCCTCCCAACAGCAAGAACTTTGTCACATCGATCTGTAAGATCGATGACTGCGATTTGTAAAATCGACTACGATCTGTGAGATCGAAACGCAGACATAACGCCACCGAAGCGGAAGCAGTTGGAAAACGGCTCCGCACTTGCCAGGGATTCATGGCGTTTGTGTGAGATCTTCGTTGTCGTGTAGCACACACTTGTTTGTGCGAAGTGACAACATATTATCTCACTTGATCACCGAATCGGTCAGGGGATAGACTCACCGATTCAATTCGAACGAGTGTACACTCCGTGGCCATTTTGGCGAAAAGCTGTTCCAGCTTGAGAAATTTTGTTTCACCCACCCGACCCGACCCTCTTTGTACTACGATATATTTTCCTCTGCTTCCTGTCTGCGAGTACCGCCTGGGAACCAGTCGGTCCTCCCAACAGCAAGAACTTTGTCACATCGATCTGTAAGATCGATGACTGCGATTTGTAAAATCGACTACGATCTCTGAGATCGAAACGCAGACATAACGCCACCGAAGCGGAAGCAGTTGGAAAACGGCTCCGCACTTGCCAGGGATTCATGGCGTTTGTGTGAGATCTTCGTTGTCTCCTAAAATTGTACACCTCTAGATAGATTGCTTTTGGGTTGTTTTTTTTAAGCCGGTTGTGTTGTACATGTTTGTTCTGAGTATAGATCATCTTAAGCATCTTTGAGGTCTTGCCCACTCTATTGGTCGAATTCAGAGTTGTTGGTGCTTACGAGTTCATTTCAACAAAGTGTAATTACTTAGTAGATGATGACGATAAAACAATCAAGCAAGCAAGCTACAATTTCGCTGTGAAGCGGAGATATTGCATGGGCTTTTGTCTGCAAGCGCCAGTTGACCCCATACAATAGTGAAAGCACAGCCATTGAAGACCCAGCCATCCAAACATGAAAACAACATAGTTAGGTTAAGAAGTATGCAGTTGGTGCCAGTACAAACATGTTTCGGCATCCCATGGTGAAGTTTGCAGTTGTAGACAAAGGGTATAGTTCCGCACGCGATGCAGACACGAAAGCACTCAATGAACTGGTCTTTTCATGGTGACATCTTCGAGCACAGATTCATGTCTAGCTTTGTGCAATACAAGCGGGTGATATTCATCAAACATTTCTTCGCAGTGTGTGCAGCCACCTTACATGAATAGGTAACCACATCGCATGAGTACATAAGTGTGCCCAACAGCAACTTCTTCATCATTATCGAAACTCAATGGTTGTGAATAATAATGGTGTAGATGCGTTAAAATCCGTTGAATGGTCAGACTCGTGAGACATGTGTCTTTTCCCAAGTGTACAACGCTGCGGGTCTGGAATCCTTTGCGGTGCGCATGTAAATAGTAGAACTGATGGGATTGACCATGACAACGACCCTTGTATGGCCCTGGACATGATTTATGAAAGAATCAAACACAGATAGAGTGCGGTGGGTTCATACGTCATCAGCGACCGCTAAACAAAGCAATGCCAACGAAACGGCAACTCAAAAAGCACAGCACTATCACAGTTAAGCCTCCGTAGTGAGAAGCACGATATCTTTCAGAATTGAAGGATAATTACTAACGGAACGACAGGTGAACATACGTTTGCATGTGTGCATGCATGCAGGTATATGTATGCATGCATGGATGTATGTATGAATGTATGCCAATGTGAGGCAGTGTATGCCAATGTATATGCATCGAAGCCCACATGTGCAGTCAGACACACATTAAGAGGCCAGGGTTTCGGCGGATTGTGTTGAGTCGAAGAGCCATGGTGGAGCCAGCGACGAAGTTCAAAAAGCTCTTGAAGCTGTTGCGTATAGAGCTTCTCCGCAGTGTCGAGCCCTCAGCGGGGACAGGGATGCAGGGTGTGGGGTTTGGTTTAATGTTTAGTCGGCAAGGAGACGGGCAAAGGGGCAACTCGAGATTGTCTCAATACCCTGAAGCCAAGATTCGGCGCCCTGCTGGGATTTTGGCCGTCGTGGGTGCGGTCGGGCTGATCACTCTGAAGGTCTTGAGGCTTTTGGATGCCAGTGGACCCGACCACAAGCTGCAATTGAAGCCCGAGAGGGGAGCTGCGCACCGGCAGGCACATCTTGGCGGTTGCACCTGCCGGACATATCAATGCAGGCAGACTCTTTAGCCACAACAGCACTCTGTTGCGATCGCTGCCCGCTGCGAGGCGTACCAAAGGCTGGAAGGACCTATTTTTTCTCCGTTGGCGACTTCGGTGTTGCGGCGTGCGAAACAGCTTTCAAGGCCAGATCGATTGTCTTCGCGGTTGGATGTCCGAGTGCTGGAGCAGTTATCAGCCTTGTTTCGATTCTGTAGCAATCCATCCCTGTGGGTGTGAAGGAGAATCAGCTGGAAAGCGGTGGTGGCATTGGCCACTATTCGTGCTCTGCAGACAACCAGCTCCTTCCTCAACTCAGCTGTGTGGCATGGCGGTGGCCCGTGCACGAGGTTTGTGTGCACTGCAAGGAAGCGCGTGGCCGCAGCCATGGAGCACCTGGCCAAGGGCCTGCAGCCAAAGTTCATCCTCTCTCTTGGAGCCGCTTTGCGAGCACAAGCGCGGAGTCTCTGACTTGAGGCGTCTCCAAGCATCTCAGCCTTTGTTCGTGTCGTGTTCACGTCAGGACAATTTCTACATACGAGGGGCCTCTTGGCATGGCACCATCTTTGAGTTTGCTCGTGCATGTCCGTTAATTGATCTTGATTGTACGGTTGAGAGTCCAAGGTAAAAGACTCCGAAGATCCTCAATTCGAGGAGTCTTTCGCCACTCGGCCGAGAACTAAAACTCCTTCTCGGACTGGGTTGCTGTCGCCGCCAGCCCAGGAGAAGATCTACAGCTATGGTCATCTGAAAGAGATTCCATGGCAGGAGCGGTCTCCTCTTGCATCAGTGGTGTAGGTCATATTCAATCGGTCGAACATCCGTGCTACAAGCACAGCAGGCTTCATCATCCATGTCACCACAGTCATCGTCGCCATCAACTTGACTCATCACCCATCATGACGAGTACACTTGCAATGTGCAGCAACACTGTAACAACAAAGCAAGTTGAAACAGAAGGAATAGCGCTACCACGAATTGCAAGAAGATCATACCCATAATACTGCACGGTGGGTGGCATTACTAGCCGCTACTAGCCGTCCCGAGCATGCATGACTGCTTTGAATGCCAGCCTGCGCACCCTGCAAGATCACCCTCGGAGACCATGATCATCGAGGCAACATTTCTGCACTGTTGCTGCGGCCGCAGCGCAATCCTCGATGGCGGCTGCCATTTCCGTCGCTGGGCAAAAGGTTTGGTGTGAAGTGTGGCGATCCACGTGCAGATGCCGCCACCGCTACAGGTACTATACCTTCGAACTACCTGCAGGGAACAGACAGGTGAGGTTCCTCATACTGGATTCCGTTGGCCTCGAGGGCGGCATGCTCGCGCACACCCAGAAGGGGCGGCGCTTTGAGCAGGCCTGATTGAAGCCAAGCAACTTCAGGGTGTGAACTCTGCAGCCCCTACCGTGCGATGCAAGCAATCCAAGGGAGGGCGCAATCGACACCATTGACGTTTGATTTCTTCGGCAGGCTGCGTTGCCTCAGACATGCAGAGTTCGAATTTCTGAGAGGACCTTTCAGAAGATTTTGCGGGAAGGAAGGCTGGAGAGGCACAATGGGAATGGCTTTCTCGAACCCTGGCGTCTTGGCATGATTCAAAAGTGGAGACGGCTTGCGGCTGCGGCCTAGACTCGCCCCAGGCCGAGGACGAGTCGGACGACGAGGCATCGTTGCAGGCCCGCCCCTGCTCCCTAACGCTTCAAGATGTATCAAGTTCAAGGGAATACTCTATCCTAGACTCCACAGGTAGCAGTTCGTGAGATTGAGGTCGTCGTGGGGCATCGGCCCATCCGAAGTCTGGCCGACCGCGGGAAGTACGGCTCGGCGCCGCCCGAAGCTGCGGTGGCAGAGGCTCTGAAGGCGGCGCTGCTCAAGGCATCGAAGCCGGTGCCATGGCCGAAGCGAGACCGGCGTAGACACTTTAGTATCTTTAGAGTCTAGAGTCCTTCAGCTGCGTTGGCCGCAGCTGCGGCTTGGCCAAGGTGGCTTACCTGCATGGTCATGATCATGTGATGCAGCACTTCCGCGAGAGCGGACAGGAGGTTCACCACCTCGGAAACGGAGTGGGGGGCATGGGCTTGCATCCCCTGAAGAACTGCTCCAATTGCAGCGAGTTCCAGTGGGGCACTTCTGCACATGGTTTTGCCGTACATGAGCTTGCCAAGAATTTCTTGGCGACCCACTTTGTGGATGCCATAACTCGGCAAGTTCTGCACACTGTAACCATTCCCTTCTGAAAGAAAAAGCGTGTGCCATGCCATGCCTGGGGATGCCATGGGATGCCACATTTTTGACCACTCCGGCAAGACACAGCAAAGTGCACAAAGCCGGGGAGCTGGATGTCAGGAGCTGAATTTGACCCCCGACATCATCTTGGCTTATGGCGGTGTTGGTGACATTGCCTGTTCTGATCATGGGCCTGGTGCTCCAGTGACCTGCTGTGTGCAGCAGCAGGCGCAACTTGTGCAACAGCATTTAGTTTTGCGGCGATTCTCTGTGATGTTTCATACAACTGGTGTAGAACTGCATTTCAAGGGTCAGACACCATCTCCTGCCTTCAGCCCCCCGACAGGTTCAGTCTCTTCACGTCAGAGGCCTTGACCGTTTGCGAGAGCGCATCCGGCAAGATAACCGGCAAAAGCCAGGGCATCTGCCGTCGGGCCTGATTAGTAGCTACGATGTTTCGCGCCGGGCGGGCGAATCTTTCTGTAGTTGCATTTAAGTGCTCACCTGTGTGCACCTGCCTGAGGCTGGTGTGCTTGGAGACGGCCCTGCCGTGCGTCCCTTGTCGGCAAGGCCGGCGTCAGTAGCGCAGTGCCCTCAGCTGTTTTCGCAAGGAGCCTCGCCCGACAATCGGCTTCGTGGTTGGCACATGGTTCGCCAAGCACGTGTCAGAGCACGAGCTTCCGCAGGCCTTCGAAGACAGGACGGCCGCCCTTGGAGTCACGTCTCGCCATGCCTCGCTCTTCTCGTCGCGGGTTCTGTGCAGGAGGCAGGGAAGCTTGAGCGAAGTCCTCGCGCTTCTGGCAGTCCTCGATTTTTTGACTGCCGCGGACGGCCACGGGTACACGGCCACTCGAGTCCTTACAGTAAAGGCTGCACAGCACAAGTGCCTCGCCAGAGCAGAGCTGCGGCTGATCTTCGGCCCGGCAGAAGCAGATCCCGTCCGTGCAACCGCCGTCATGCGTCTTCTACAGCAAGGTCGGGGTCCCTCCGATCACCCATGCTGGAGGTGGAATTGCGCATGCCTGGTCTTTCTACTAGAGGTTCAGATGGTGAAGAGCTGCTCCGCATTTTGAAGCAGATGTTGCCTGCGCTGGTACCCGCCTTAGCCGCCTTGAACCACCGCTTGAAAGCAACCTTCGTCGGTCCTAAGGCCAGCGAGGAAGACTTTCAGCAGCTCCGGGAGCCTTGCCAGCTGCTCCTGGCGGCTTCGCGCTGCCTCAGCGAGGAGGCGTGCCACTGCGAAAATCTGCAGAAGATGCTCTGAGCTCCTCTTGCGGCGCAATGCGGATCCGGCAGCAGGATCCGGAGGAGACCGCCAACCTCGCTCTGGAGACGCTTCGCTTGAAGCCTTCCGCCGTGTCAGCGGATGAGCTCAGAGCGCTTGGCATCGCGCTCGGGGAGCCTCGGCAGCCTCGGCAGAAGGAAAGCCTCGGGCTCGGGCGCACGCGTCTCCGCTCGATACGGCTCAGCTCAGGACACGAAGCCACTGGATTACTTTGGCGTGGAGCTACTTGGTTGCAAAGCAGCGAGTGAATGCGCTGTACAGAATCGGATTCGCTCGTGGCCCAGGCTCTACCGGAGTGGAGTTCAGCGCATTCTGGAGTGTTTCAGCGCCTGGACAGGCCTCAAGTTTGGAAGGCTGTGACATTGCTAATTACCATTGCGATTATGCAGGTGATTCTGCCTTCGAGAAAATGCAGCCGGACATCAAAGCGGCACTGACAGTGCTGGAAACTTCAGCAGCACCGTGTTATGACAGTGGCACCCCGTTTTGGGAAAGCAAGCTGCTTGATTGAAGTGGCCATCTCTTCTAATGCGCGAGTCTTGTGCTAGCTTGAGTTGTTCTTGTAGGCCGTTGCATTTGCTGGTGTGCACACGAATGCACTTCACGTCAGAAAGAGACATGTTTTTCGAGACGGAAGGTTTGGCTCGTCTGCCTGTCCCCATGCAAGCTGCATTCAAGAACTGCGCCGTCACATCGGCCAAAGCTTCCTGGACTCTTGGTCGTCTGCTGCTAGAAAACTGTGTGTGTGTGTCTATATATATATATATATGTATATATGATCCCGGTTCGGCCAGCCCCCCCTCCCCCCCCCAATGCTTCCTCTGTGGTGTGGTTGTGAGGTGTGGTGTGGTGTGGTTCGGGAGTGGGTCTGCTTAGGCTGGTTACCCCACTCCCCCCTGTGGTGTAGTGTGGTTTGGGTTTCCTGCGTGGGTCTGCTTGGCGTGTGAGCCCTCGTGTGGAAAAAGCTTGCACAATTCGGGTTGGGGAGCGTGGGGGGGGCGGGGTCGGTGAACCGAGAACCGGGATCATATATATGTATATATCTCTATCTATATATATATATATGTGTGTGTGTGTATTTGTTTTTTCTTTTTGGCTTGTGGAGCTGCGAAGTATGCAGAGACATGTGTAGCTTCACTTGCCCAGGAGCGCCGTTTTGCAAGGCTGCGCAGCGGGTCCTTGGATGCCGGTGTCCTGCCTTCAGCTGGCATAGCTTGAGCTCTCGGCCAGACATGGCCAGACTATTCCACAAACTGCACGAGGCAGTCCGGGAGACACGGCGAAGGAGCAAACATGGAACCGGCTCTTCGACGAAGTTGACACTGACAAGAACGGAGTCATATCGAGCTTCGGAGTGCAAGACCTAAGCCTTAGACCGAAGCATTGCGTCGGAGCATGTGTATCAGCAGTCGTCACAGATGTGCTCAGGATGGACGAGTGGTGGAAGGCACTGGAGGATGATTGCAACCGTGAGCTTCGGGTACTTTTTCAGTTCGAGAATATCAAGATGAAGAAGCTTCTTCGAAAACTGTAGCTCAGCTGCAGGGATATGAGTCCAACGAGGTCAGCAGAACTCGGTCGAAGTCCGGTGTAGCTGGACTTGACATGTTCGCTGATATCAGGTTTAAGTCCTCTGTCCATGAAGAAGCAGAGAGCTCCGTGTCCCGAGACGAGTTTGTGCTGGCATGCAGGACCTGGTGGGGGCGGGGGAAAACTGTGTGCGATGTTGCCACAACTGCAGCGCAGGGGAGGAATGCTTTGAGACGTGGGGTCTACTTCAGATTTGCTGAAGCATGATCAGGATGGCAGAGCGGGATGAGCTTCTGTGGCACTTCGTGCACATGGTTGCAGGTCATGACATGGAAAGCGCAGACTGCAGGCTCCTTGGCTTCTGGTCCATACTTTTCGAGGATTGCACAGTTTGCCCGTTTGCCCTCTCGGATTCTCACCGTAAAGCCTCAAGGTCCGGATCAATGACTGAAAATGGTGTCGCCGCCATCCTTCGGTGGAACAGCACCCGGTCTGCAATGAGTCACAAGCAGCCTGGCCTAGACCCGAAAGCTCAAGGAAGCAACATTGAGGAAGGCTTGCGGAAGGAGATGTGGCTGCTCAGGCTGGGCAGTGCTTGCATGTTGCTCTTGCATCCAGGAGCACCGCATATTTCAAAGCTATTCTGGTCACTTGGGCGACTTGTCAGACATAGCGCGCGCTCACTCCATTTTTCCTGTCCTGCATATAGGTCCAGCTTTACCGAGGCATCTGGCAGAGGCTGGCTGCGAGCCCACTGGAGGCCCCCCTGACCGGTTCAAGTTTGTGGCTGGTGGTGTTTCAGGCCGTGTCCCTTAAAAGGAAAGGATGGTGATATTTGCAGATGACTTTTTCCTAGGCAGGCCAACGTGACAACACCAGACGTGACGTGCAGTGAATCTGCTATGTGTTTCGAAGGCCTGGCGCGAACACTGTGAAAGCATCTGCAAGCCCCTCGAGGAGATTAGGAAGGACATTAGCAAGGCCTTGTGTGCTAGCAAAGGAGCGATCATGTAGCTTGTTCATTTCGGTGGAGGCGAAGTTGGGCCAAGACTTTGTCTATCTGGGTTCCGGCTGCGATGAGATTGACAAGGCATCAAAGAATCACCGCTCTTGATGTCAGAGCATCTTGACTGTTGCGGTAGCGTGCTGTCGATGTCAAACTGCCTTCTTCTTAAGGGAAAGCTAACTCAGAGGTCATGTGCCGCTCTAGCAACACAAGCTTATCTCTTGGCAGGTGCTGACAGGTTCGTTTTCTGAGCAGCTCTTCGTAAAAGTGGCCTTCAACACCAGCAAAAGCACCCGGGCTCGGCATCTGTGTAGGCCCCCCGCCCTCCTGCGCCAATTGCCCTGCTTTAAATGCTTGGCTTTTCAGCCTCATTCAACCAATTCTAAGGTCGACAAGATGTGTCAATTTTCTGCCAGCTTATTCTCCTACAATGCCACGTCCTAGAAACTCAGCCGGCAAGTGATCCGGAAGCTTCATGAACAACCTGGCAAGCTCTTAGGAGGCGGTTTGGGAATCCTTGTTCCCGACGAGCTGCAGTGAGGCCAGCAGCCACACAGTGCAGAAAGCCAGGGTTTTATTCAAAGGGGGCTAGGGGTGTACGGCTTGGTATACCCCTAGGAGTGCGAACCCTTTTCAGCTGATCTCAGCCGTTTTGTCATCCTCCAGGCCAGCCTCGAAATCGTGGAGCAGTGGCGGCCTCAGACAGCTTCAGAGTTCTGAGTTCGATAGTTGTAATCGCAGGTGCCCGGAGCTATGGCTGGGAATTGACTACATTTTCAGCGATGACGGGCGCTGCGCCTTCTTCTCGCGGCAGGTGCACCCATGCAAATCATTCCTGCAGCTCCGATTTCCTAAGCGGGTGCGCTTTGGCCAGGGCTTCGAGAAATGGAGAAAGTCGGACAAGTGGAGAGAAATCTGGGACAGAGAGTCCGAGCCACATCAGAAGACTGACGAGGGAACTTTCCCGAACAACGCTCACGAACAAGTGCGCCGAGAAAGCAGTACAACCGTCTGCCACTTACACTACAGATGCGAAGTCTTGAGCAATATAAGCAGCGCTGCCTCGAGTGGGATCGCATCAGTATTTGAATTGAATGGTTTCTGATGGTCTCCCCGAGGGAAGCAGAGTGGAAGCTCCGGAATCGGCTGTACTCGAGGTGGGAATGCTGCTGAGAGCCTGCGATACAGTGCGATAGAATTGCGATACACCAATACCGGCAACGGCCGAATGTTCTGAATCGTGAGTGTTCTAACTGGTCTAGCTCCTTGTCGGAGGCAAAACATTTTTACGACCACCAGGTGGAGCTTGACCGCCAGCTGGAGCTTCCATGATCTCTGCATCCTTTGACAGCTCGCTACTAGCACGGTAAGTGCTTTGGAAGGACTGCACCTCGCGATCGGGAAGCCACCGAACCGACTGCCACGTCGTTTGATAGAGATGTGCCGAATCACACACGCTGCATATCCACATTGCGGCGTTCGAGGCTGGCAGTGTCGTCGAGCAGCCCGAGAACGGATTTGCCGATCGGCTCTCGGAAAATCTTGAGCCTGCAGCTTGCCTGCAACTCCACTGCATAAGCTGGAGCCAAAGCGAAAGTCCCCAGTCTTGCATAGCTCCAAGCCAGGCCTCTTCGGCGTCAAGCGGAAACGAGAAGCTGCAGGCCTGGCCATGTTCGGCAAAGCAAGCTCTCTTGAAGATTGGTGGGTCAATGTATGGTCACTGTAGTCCGTCTGTGGTGCAGGTACACCAGCCCTTCACGCCGACATACATGCCGGATCAGCAGGTATGCCGGACAGTTTACCCTGGCATGTACCCCATCAATCTGTTCACTCCGGCAGCTGAGCAGGCAAATGCAACTCCGCTCTGCGCTGATTAGCATGTGGTCTTGCAAGATAGGAACACTAATCTGACTCGCTTCCTGAAGGCGCACATCCGCACAGACTCGATGCAAGCGCCCCCGCTGGACGACTCTTGTCGTAACAAGCTCGCTTAGTCACAGAAGGCCTAGCTACATGATTCGAGTTTCGTTTGCTTCATGGAGCACGGGTGTGTCGGCATAGTTTCGGCTTTTGCCAGACAGCGGTTTTGTTTGATGTCTATTCCAGGAACAAGGTGGCGGTTTTGCATGTTGTGGATGTTTCACCTCTCCCCCCGTGCAGGCTGGTGCAGTGCTTTTCTAGATCTTTCCACTACAAGCAAATTCGTGCCTCAATTGTTGAACGAGCGTGGCGATAGAGGCCAGCAGCTATTTGCAGACGGAAGCTGCTCTCTATCTCTACTGCGAAGTGCTGGACAAACGCGGCCTTCTCGCGACGACTCCGGAAGGAGCGTCACGACACACAGGTTTCCATGTCACATGGCATGAGCATAAGGCTCAAAAATCCTTGAAGGACCTTGCCAAGACTTTCAAGACATGTTGTCTGCCTTCACCGGCTATGACGCGAAAGACATTCATGTGCAGGCGGCTTTTACAAGAGAGATGCTCGCGTTGACTGGCGGGCATGCAATGTTGCCAAACATGACCACAATGTGCGTGTGATCAGCCGCATTCTCACATCATTTAGGCACCAAGCCTGAGTGTTTGGGTCATGAGGCAATGGGTTTCATCCGGGATGAAGTCGAGGCCGTGATGCTGAAGGCAGGAAAGGAAGTCGTCATTGCGATGCCTTACGTGGCAGAGTAGATAGAGCGCACTGTCAGGCAGAGATTCGCCCAGCGGAGACGACGATTCAAAAACTGCGTGCGGTGCAGCAGAGATTGATGCTCGGCTGGCAGAGCTTCCTGAAACCCTTTGCAGAATGCACGGGGTGCGACATATCCAAGATCACAGCTGCCCAAAGATTGATGCATGTCAAACTACAGGCTTTCGATCAAGACAGCTTGCAGCTCCAGGGAATTCTTCGACAAGTTCCCTGCCAACGGCCACATGCCAGAAAGCTTGCTTTTCCACGGAGAAGACTCTAACAGGCCATGAGGGAGGGCCGGGCTAAACTCCGGACACCCCAACAGGCGGCATCCAAGTGGGCACCACATGCTGCGACAACCTGGGGGGGCCGGCGTCGACGTCGCTGCTTGACTCTACCAGCTTGATGGATTTGCCTTCATCCGATGAAAGCGTAGATTTGCTGGTTGGCAGGCTGGCGGGGTGTTGCAGCTGCTCGTACCTCACGGCCCACATGGCGGCTCCCTTGGAGTTTGCCTGCGGTATGGGCAACGTGGGGCAGTTCATGCTGCAAGGACATCCAGGAGTTTGCTGCAGACACGGGCTGCATGTACTCTGCATCTGGGCCAGATCTTATCGGTGTGGCCCTTCTACTTGGACTGGAGCCGACGTCAACTGAGGACTGTGTCCACGAGGTCTTGGCCCATCTGTCAGATCTGGGACTGATAGATCAAGTGCAGGCTGGAGCTCTCAACCTCGTCACTTCTCCATCGGCCATTCGAGTCAGAACGCGGTAGTGTCATGCGACACATGAAGGGTCTGCCTGACCTCAGCTATGCCAGTGTTTCCTTGCATCCATGAGCATGTCGCCATGGTCAGTCTGCGATGCGAATAACAACACGAACTGCCTGCGGAGCTTTGCAACAGCTAGTGTTGTAGCCTGTGGCGGTTCGGTTTCAAGTGTCCAGCTGTTTTGCAAAAGCCGTGTTTGTGAAGCTGCTTCTGGCAATGCCCGACGTGTGCGTAAAGTTGCATTATGTTGCATTCACGATCACGCTATGATCTGCGAACGGGTTCGGCCCTAATCCATCATGCGTTTCTGGACACATATGTTGCAAAGTGCTTCAAGCCTACAGGTTTGACGGTGCTCAGAAATCACGATCTCCTGTAATACTTAATCCTTTCGGCACTATCAGTGCCCTAGTGGGAAGCCTGATGATGATGATGATGATCCCCCTGTTTAACTTTATCGTTTGTTCTTTGGTGAGAGGAAGTGGCGAGCTTCAGCTTGGCACAACTTCAGAGACCGCAGGTGCTGCAAGGCATCTCTGGTATCCGGCGCCTTCACTTCCGCCTTCGTCCAAGAGAGGCACCGACACTGGAGGACGCGGTATGACACGGTGTATCACGGAGCATGGTATATCACAGCGTGCCCGTGCACGCACTCATCCGCGAAGCGTGCTGGCAAGTCGAGATTCGACGAACAGGACCTGCGAACGCTCCAAGCCGATCTCGTTGAGTTCCTCGAAGCTCGCTCAGGCCCGGCACACGTTCACACGCTCCTCATGGGCAGATGAATGTTTCCAGATGGAAGTGGTCGGGCGCTGGAAGAAACAGCTGCTCTACTACGAAGAAATGGAACAGAGCTGAGGATCAGTAGTGGCATTCTCAGGTTCTTCGCCTCTGCCGGCCTTGCCGAACCTGCGTGGAAGCCCCCTGGTCGGCTGCCCTAGGACAGTATGGATATTCAAGGGATCTTCAAGCTGTGCCACGCGAGCATGCCCGGGCCGACTGCTTTGCAGTCAGAGGTCGTTGACTCTGCCGTTTATCATCTTCCATCGGGACCCACCGCACGTCCGTTGGTCTGCAGAAGAGCCACAGCAGTTTGAATCAGTGCTTGTCATCTTCGGCGCATGTCTATCATTGCAGGTTGTCAAATACAAGAGCCAAGGTGGCAAGTCCACCCTGCGCTGCCACCTGGATATCACGGATGAGAGCGGTTGGCTCCATCAGCAAGGAGGCCAGAATACAAACATGAAACCAGAGCACCCGCTAGATGTTGAACATGCACTGGCTACAACAGACCCATATGTCCTTAAGGTATGCAAGACTATTATGCTGGGCCTTGGTAGGTCCGCATGCGTTCAGAGACTGTTGTGATGGAGATCAGATTATCCATGCAAGGACACCGCTGCGCATCAGAATTCCTCTGCATCCTGAAGAAGATTGCGTCGCACTTCCACTTGACGAGTCTAGAATTTCCATGCGTGCAAATGTGGAAGCTGAAGAGCAAAGCAACTTGGCTGCTGTCATCTCCTGGTGCGAGATGCGCCAGTTCTTGCTCCTATGAGCCCAAGGAATATACCATGGACTTCCAGGTGCTGACACCCTGTTCTACGGAATCGCGTGACCCCCTCGATCGCTGTAAACATATGAACCAATACATCCTTGCCTCCCGGTATCAGCATGTGAGGCTGAGTCTCCATTCCGCCTGGTGTTCAGCCATTTCGACCGATGTGGCGAGGTACAGTTCAGCAACTCCTATGGGCTCTCCATCAAAGAAGCCTTCATGAATGGGCAGCTGTCGTGCTCAGGAAGCAGAATCAGATTCAACACGTTTTAGTGTTTTTGCGGCGCCTTTCATTCGACTCGTTTCTGTTTCGTGCATCAGCATGGCTGGACAGACAATTGTAAGGATGTGAGCGATGCCGTCTTCAGGCACCCCCGCCTGCATTCAGGTTGCGATTGAGTTAGCGCCCTTGCAGCGAGCTGGACAGCATTGCAAGGGGCGTGGCCGTGAAGCGACCTGCTCGAGTTTGCGCCCACACCGCCACTGCCGTCATCGGCGAGCGCCACTCGTGGCAACTTCGTTCCAGCGAGTGGCTCGGTGGCACCTTCAGCAGTTCCTGCATCTTCAAGACAGGCTTGCAGCAGCAGGCTCACCAGGTGCTGCAGCAGTTTCGGACTTTCTGTGATTTTTGCTTTGCATATATTCGCCACCGTTCTTGCTATGAACTTGAAGACGCTTGGAGAAGCTTGTCTCTCTGAACTTTCAGTGTCTCGTCGTGTCGTGCGATTGCGCTAAGGGACCATGACGGCTCCATGGACTTCATCATCTGGGCGGAGCTCGAGGTGGTTGATCGATTCGGAGCCATAAAGCGTGGCTCGACTCATGCTCATGCGTTGACTCATCATGCGGTGGGTCAGCGGCTCGCCGGTCCCTGACAGCCTCGTAGAAGATTCAGGTAACGGCAGCACCCATTTGGCGACCTTGCTGGCGGACTGCGCTGCTTGTAACCTGCCCAGTTTTTTCTTCGGTCCTGTGACTGTATCTCAGCATAGGATTGCCTTCACGTCGTCATCGGCATCGAGCCGGCCCGCTTAAGCATCCTGAACGTTGCACCAATGCCAAGGACAGGCTGGCGCCTGTGGTTGACTAGCCTAGCCGGGCCTAGCCTAGATTGAAGCCGTCTGAAAGCGCGGCTACTTGTCATGTCCTATATCGCTGACGGAGGAGCGAGCTGCGCCAGAAGCCTGGCACGCCTGTGCATGTTTGTGAACACGGTACACGTTTCTCGAAGCAATGCATGCAATGCCAGCCTGACACTTGTGGTTTGGGTACTTTTTCTGCACTTTGCATGGAGCCTGCGCAGGCGCTGAGCCAGGGATGCAGGCAGCGCCGCTTGGACGCAGGGAGGAGTAGTTCACGTAGTGCTGGCAAAGCACGAGCAAGTCCTCGATGCGTGTCTTCTCTCAAAGATCTTGACCATCTCGAACCAGGTTGGTGTACAGTGTGAAGCTGGAGATCGATTTCTCCAGCTGCGTCTCAGGGCAGCAACAAAACTTTATTGGTTGAGCTGGCTGGCGAGCCCGCGCGTTTTGGTCTGATACACTGCGCCAAAGCAAGTCCTGCGGTTGGTGGCAGGTGCGCGTGTGTGTGTGTGTGTGTGGTGTGTGTTATAGCAAAGAAAGGCCACATCGTAGCAGCCCAGGTGGCTGGTGAAGAAGACCTGCAGTCCATCGTGGAAGGCACCAGCAGCCTTCATAGTTGCCTGGCCAGCACAGTGCTCCAAGCACTACACTAGTGCCGCGATGGTGAGCTTGGCATAACACAATCCGAATGTGCCCGCTGATTCATATGACTGCATGTTCCGACCTTCATGTACTTCCACTGATGAAATCGCATCACCGAGGCAGTGCTGTGCTGCACCGGTGGGGACATTTGCCGTTTTTCAAGCAGCATCTTGACAAGAAGTGGTGAACGTGCCGGCTGTCTGGATGGTTGTTAGTGCTACACATTGTCAGGTACTTCATCAATGGTTTCGCACCTTGGTAAATTCAAGAGCTGTTACCAACGTTGCATCACCCGTCCCTCCCATTCCGAAAGTAGCACGAGATATGAATGTCACAAGACGGTTTCGTGTGGCACGGTCCACGTCAGAAAAGGTTGCACGCGAAATCCAGACATGCGATCACAATAATGGCAAGATGGAGCGCAAGCCGCTGCATTATGCTCGGAAAGCCCAGCACCTCTGCGGCAGAACAAGGAATGGGCTGGGCATCAAAGTTTCCTACTGCGCATGCTATGCATTGCTAACCCCGGACTTCGCACCCAGGCCAAAGGTTGCAGCTCACCTCGACCTGTGCTGCAAGGCAAGGCAGCTTTGCACATCTTTGTCTGGCTGGCTTTCAATGAGAGTAATGTCAAATATTGTCAAATGCCCATAAGAGAGACGTTCGTCTGGCGACATGTGTACTGCGTTCAGTGATGTTGTGTGTTCTCGCGGTCTTCTTGAAAAACATCTGTGCTTGGCGTCCAGGTCGGCAGCTTCCACTGCTCACATGGCCATGGCTGGCCGATGCACTTGGCAGAGATGCTGTCGGAAGCCTTGCACCAGGACCTGTCTGAGTAAGCTGTTTGCTATCATCGAAGACAGCCTATTTGCCAACGGCGGGCTCTCTTCCAGCCCTGCCCATGCAGGCATGTAGCATAGCGAAGGATGACATCGTCTGGATCTGAGAGAGGATGCGCTGAGCATGTCGGCTGCAGTGGCGGCTTCGCTGCTACGGCAGGTCATCACATGCGTCCAGCTTCGGACTTCATGTCAGCAGCGAAGCGGACTGGTCTCGGGTTTCTTAGAAGCCATGGAGAAGTTGGAGCTCGAAGCAAAGGCTGCGACCCGATCCCCCAACATCCAGCCAAAAGCTTCAAATGCCAGGTTGCATCTGATTCTGATGATGAGACAAGGGACACCAGTAGAGGAGGACTGATGTGGAAGAGTAAATGTAGAAGTTACCAGGCTACGCGGAACTGTTCATGTCATTCCAGTCTGCGCTTGGAAGGACTGTCGGAAATCTTATGTGAACCCCCCCTGGCTTCGTACACCGTGGAGATGGAGGCCTTGGTTTTGCATGCCATGTCGACCGTGCGACCTTGTCTATGTGACAAGCCACTCCTTGACACCGGAATTATGGTCGCACATCAGATACGCCGAGCATTCCACCGCTCATGTTTGTTGTTCGAGTCTTTCTTGTGTGCAAGTGCACAGGTGATCTTGCATGATGCCCTCGACGCAAGCCAAGAGCTCCAGCGTGTGTCTACGTCACTTCGAAAGTTCCACAGCCAGGCCACGAAACAGTTCTGTCCAGCCGTCACAGCTCTGCGAAAGACATCTTCGTGAACCGTTGTTCTCCTTGAACCGCAGGCGGTGAGGCGCAAGTTTGCCATGCTGCCCAGCTGCGCTGGGATGCGAACAGCAAACGTCTCTTTCACAAATCGGGTTAGGGCCTTACAGGCAAGTGATCGTCCCTGGCTGGGCCCAAGGCTGCCGTTTTTCCGAGAGTTTGATTTCGACGTCGGGATCCAGCAGCTTGCATCGCATGAAAACAAGTCGCCGCCTGGCTGCTTGAGATCAGACGAGATGGTGCAGCTCAGATGAGGCTCTTCAGATCCAGCAGCTGCCATTTAGGCAGAGTGCTGTAGTGTCTCCTTGCGACGGCCACTGCAGAGTAGCGAGTGCGACGTGACGCTCGCACATGGAGGCTCCAGCAACAAGCCGCTGGAAGAGCACATGCGACCATGCAGGATTGGGGAGAGCTGTGTCATCAGGCTGTCTTAGCCAGGACAAACACTTCCTGCAATTGTTTGCAGGAGGATCAGAGTGAGCCCGTTGATTCCTCAATATTCACCGGTGGTCCTGGCTGGTCCCTGTGTTCAGAGCCGAGTGGAGCCCTGGAGTTCAAGGGTCACCGACGAGTCTCGAGTCTCCATGCCTTGTGGATGCTACCTTGCCTAGTTCCCATGAATGTAACGGTTCGGTTCGGTTTGCGGTTTGAATCGACGGTTCAGGTTCATGCGGTTCGGTTTCTCTTGCTGTTCCTGTGGCTTCGTCGGGAGGAACGCACGGGAGTACATGAGCACACAACCTCTTTCGGGCTCGGAAGTGGCAACTTCTCTAATCTCCTGCACGGGACCTCGGGGCCTCTTGCTCGAGAGACATTTGTCTTGGTCTTGGTCTGTTTGTTTTCACACCAAGACAAAGCTTCGAACCGTGTTGGCGGTTCGCTTCGGCAGCTTCGCTGTTCGTCGTTCTTGAAACCGGCGTTCTAAGTTCGGTCCCTTACCTTTCATGCTGGTTCCGGAGGGTTCGTTGTCGCTCTGGTTGGGTTCATGTACCTGATATTGTTGTGGCAGATGTTGACCTAAATCTGAGGACAGCTTGGAAGACTTCATAGTCTTCGATGGGCCCCCTTGTCAGTTCTGGTATACGACGTTTTCATATCTGTAGGGCTTCGCAAGTTGGACAGCCGGCGGATGCTGTATTCGGAGGTACACCAACATTATTCAGCGTGGAAGAGCTCCGGCGGAGTACGGCCCGCCAGTGCCAGAGCCGCAGATTCGAGCTTGGTTGCTTGGCTTGGCGATTACTTCGCTCGAGGCTGCAAAAACGAAGCCAAGCAGTGTCAGAGAAGCATCGCGAGGTTTCTGGAAGCCTTGGACTTCCATCTGAAAGAAGAGAATCTGGAGGCATGACAGCCGTGGTCATGACTTCCTGTCGCTCTCACTCATCAAAATTCATACATGCGGGCTACGGGTCAACTGAGCACCGGGCTAAAATACTTGGAGTTTCTCTTGCACGTATACTCCGGCAGTGTAACCCCCAAAAAGGAAGTCGATCCAATCCCCTTGAACGGCCTGCCCTGTGGCAGCATGGGTTTCCCCAGGCCTGAGGCTGGCGGCGATGGGGAGGGTAGGGACTGACAGGATGTCCACCCTGTCAACACATCTCATCGCAAAGCAAGAGGGCATGACAAACTCTTTGCAGCCTCCCACTCTTCTTCAAGGTGTCCAGCGTCCCCGACACCAATGGAACCTCCCTGGCCATTCGACCACCGGACTCTTTGACCGCCACCGGTGACACTGTTTTCGCCTGTCCGAGTCGAGCTTGCACGGAGTCTCAGGACAGGGAACCTCTCCAGTTCGACGGACTCTGGTTTCGTGTGACTGGTGTACGGGCCCGGTCTGCACAGACCGAGAAGCTTCAACAGCTTCTTGGCTGCAAGTGACGCCGTTGCCGATAGCGCTCTCCCGTCTCTTTCCTCAGACTACGACGTGTTCGTGTGAGCGCTTTCTTCCTCTCAGGCGGGCACTGAAGCCTTCCGAGGCCTGAGCTTTGCAGGGCACAAAAAGGAAGAGAGCTGGCGGCTGGCGGCTGTGTTGTATTCTGAGGCAGGAGCGGAGGCCGCCGGAGTCACTTCGGGATTCCTGGCCTATGCCATTGACTTCGAGATCAGGCGCCTGGGGCCTGGCTTGGGCGATGCTTCTTGGCGAGACTATTTCGCCACTCTGTTCTCGGATTCTCAGCGAAGAAGGCAGGTTTGTTATCAGCAGTTGCTGGCCTCCAGCAAACCTTGAAGCTCGAATGGCACCACGAAGTACAGGGCTGCAAATGCTATTAGACTGTAAGACCTGTATACAATGGTTAGGCAGGTGAACACTCTAGCTGCTGTAGCTGACTGTAGCTTTGGCTCTCAATTCACGAGGGAGAGGTGGGGACAGGGAGCGCATGTGCAACTCCAGGGCCTGCACAAAGCCGCGCCGGCACGGCTCAAACCAAGGACAGCTCTTCAGTGAGCGGGCGATATGTGCTTTGGACGAAGACTGACGCTGACTTCCATGTGAGCTCAACTCACGGCCTAAGGTGGCACTTGCCGAACAGGTCAGGGCGGTGCTCCACGGCTGCCTGCTTCATTTGCACCGCATGCCAACCTTGAAAAAGGTGATGTGGCTGCAGATGAATTTGAGGGCACCTCCCTTCTACGAGTGACCCTTCCATTTCTCTCAAGTTGTAACCTGGCTCTGGCTGCCTAAGAAGTTGAAGTTCTACCGTCACTTCGAATTTGACCACGGCATCCAGCTCGATTTAATCCGGCACCAGGACTGTACCTGGTTGGTGTCCGCTTCGATGTTCTTTCTCTCTGATTGCTGTGAGGAGTCAAGGAGCATTGGAGTCTGTTCGCAGACCCACTGTGCGCCATGCGAGGCTCCTGCGATTTCGTTATTCCGGCCGCGCGAAAGCCATCCCAGTCGTGCAGTTCCTATGAGGCTGGCCTCAGCACCGATTCAACAAAGTTCAGCTCAACACCGAGGAGCACTTTTGGGCGGCGTGTGCAGAAAGATCCAGAGTTGACACGACCCTCTTAAACCCATAAGCAAAGGTTGCTGGACATTACGGTGCTGGAGCCAGTCCCGTGAGGACCTTTACGGTTGGCGTGCGCTTCCACACGGCTGGCTGCACCTCACCACCCACAAAGCCTACAGTCTCTGCAGTGAAGATCAGCATGGCTGCCAGACTGCTAAACACCGAAAGGGCAAACGACCCCTACTGATATCTCGAGCAAGCCCGAACCACCGCGTTCTAATTTACTGCTATCAACAAATTTGCGGACGAAATGCGTCGAGGGCCAACGTCTACGGGGTTCTTGCCGGGCTGGGGAAGCAAGAAAACCACAGAGAAGACCGCTTAGCTCCGAAGGGTCTGCTGGGAGTCACAGTCCCGCCCTGAGGCTGCCCTTCTCGGACTTGAGCACTGCCAGATGGAAATCGCAAGTGTTGAGATGAAGGCCACCTGGTGCGAGGCAGAGCTCCAGCCGCTCGAGCAAAACGTAAACGGTTTCCATGTTTGCATGTGTACATGTCTGCGTGCTGCAGACATGTAAACTCGCACAGAAACGCACATCTTCGATTCCGGAGAAGAGTGAGTTGACACCCACGAAAGATGAACAGCCAGATAGAGGCCGTTAGAGGCTAAGGCATGCATGGGCACTCGAGAGCTCAGGATCCGGACACTGACGCACGCACCGGCTGTTGCGGAGACAGAGGTCGGGGCCGTTGCAACTGGTGCCGTTGATACAACCCCGGCTGCGCCTCCCACTACCAACATCACCACACTACTGCTAGCTGCTACCTTTGCGACTACCTTTGCTGCTTCTAGTGCACGTGCCATCCCTTCATCATGTGACCGGAGGCCTTGGGTGCCAAGCTTGCATCTCTGCACCAGAACGGCGTGTGCAGCAGCTCGCAGATTCCTCAGCGGTGTTGCATTGCATTCTCTTGCGATGCCCTGGGTTTTCCAATCAGGTGTCAACAGCTTGGAAGCTGGAAGCCCGTAGCAGTATCCCGGCGCGTCTTGTTAGTTTGCCAGCCTCACGCAGTAGTTGGTGAGATGATATCAGGTAGTCGCACCGGCACTGGACGAGGACATTGGAGCCCAGCCTTCCGTGCCTGGGAAGTCCGAAAGAAGCTTTGAGAACTTCATGCAACAAGGACGCCCAGCCAGAGCTGGCAGTCGCAATTCAGCTCCAGCTGTTGCCTCCATCAAATTCAGCACCATGGATGCCATCAGAAGCCACAAGTTGCAAGCTGCCAGCTGCCAGCTGCCTAGGTATGGCCGTTGGGTGAGCGGGAGCAGCAACAGCTGAAGGCCTTTTGGTTTGATGATGCCACCGCTTGCTTCTCTTTCAAGGGGCTTCTCTCCTGCAGGCGGAGCTACAGCGGAAGACGGGCTTCTCGCGGCAGTTGCACGTGACAAGCTTGAGGTATCTGACGCAGTCTACGCATATCACAAGGACTGCATGTGACCTTTCCAGGCAATCGTCCAGCTGTGCCATCGTGGACTTTGCCATAATGGGTCTGCGAAAAGAGCGGGCTGCCCTTCTCAAGGCTGGAAGCAGAACGGCTCACACTCTCCGTGCGCCGATATGACGACAGCCTCACCTCAAGGCCTTTTGGGCCGCAGTTGACCAGAGCACTCCAGTGAATGAGCATTGGTCCGGACGGGTGGTTGATGTAAAGGCGGGCGGGGGCAACCTGCAGAGCGCTTCCTGTCAAGTCTTCTCCGGGGCCTGCAGATGGTCGAAGCAGCGCAGCTGCGGAGCGCTCGCCTGACAGGACACCGACACATAAAGCGGCTGAGCCTGGCTTTGGTTACCAGTAGCCTGAATTCAGAGGATCCCTGCGAAGCTTTGCAATTTCGGAGACATCTGCGATAAGTGCAACTCTGGGCCTGCGGGAGGCGATCAAGGACAGGGACATGTCGAAAGCTTAAGAGCCGTGATCCTTTCAGAGTATCTGCAGACAAAGGACTATATCCACCTGTGCCGATCCGGTGACGCAGGCAGGACCATTTGCGACAAGCCATGGAGTGACGGCTGCAAGTTCCGAGTGCAGAGCTCCTAGGACCTAGGGGAGCAGCAGCTTGGTGTCAGGTAGCCAGGAACGACAGGTCGGCTTGCTCAAGTGTCTCGGAGCAACTGAATATTTGCCGGCTATGTGTGCTTCAGACGGATCTGTCCACGCCGTAACTCATACGGAGCCAGCCGCCAACCCGAAGGCACATTTTGGAGATGCTGAACAAGATCGAAGCACCAGCGGGAATTGCAAGTCCCTGTGTTCTGTCAGAAAGACATGCGAATTCTCACCGCTGCAACACACAGGAACGGTTTGCGGTTTCGCAGGTAGCAGCCACTATTTCGAAAGACCTCCGAACGTAAGGTCCTGCGCAACAAAAGCATCACCTGGCCAAGCACGGTGTTGCAACTGCCTCGGGGGTGCCAAGAGTAGGCGCAGTGCTCGGTTGATGCCTTGGAACTTGAGACCCATGAGGCTGGTAGACCAAAGCCAGCCGTGCACTCTATCAGACTCTGTCATCGATCTAAGGCAGCATCTCTCCTTCAGGCCTTCAGCTCCGTCCTGCTGGAGGCAAGATCGTACGTGGTGCGGAGACTCAAAGGTCTCTTATGTTCGCTCAGGTGGTCGAGCGTCACGGCACTCTGGCGAACCAGGAAGAGCATGCCATCAAACGGTACTTCCTCAGCCAGGCCACCGCAAATTTTACGGGGGCTTCCGGTGGGAGGGCCCGTTCTGCGGATCTCAGGACTGGCGCCCCGAGGAGATGCGCTACGCTTTGCGGGCTCTGACATGGGCTCCTTGGTGCTTCAATTGACTGTGGCTGCATTTACACGCCGGGTACGGACTGCTCAGGTACTTGCATATGCCTCTGTGCTGCACTGTTGCCTTCGTTTTTGCAGCGCGCAAGTTTGTAGGATCTCGTTTCGAGCCTTGAACAAGGACACGAAGGCAGATACAGACTGCGCACATGACGCTATGCTGCAGAGAGCACGCTGTCAATTTAGCTTTGCAGAGGCATCCGTAGGAAATGTATAGGCGTTGAAGAATCGGCAAACCCATCCTTGTCCTTGCCTCGAGGTTCGATCCGTCTCTCGCAGCACCCTGCAGGCAGACACGCGGCTCGCGAATACTGCAGACATCTCGCTGAAAACCCCAGCAAAGCCGTGCTACTCACGATTCGTGACATGGCACAGTGTCCTCAAATGCCAGACGTGCCCCGCAAGTCAGCGGTCTGGGAGCGCACATGAAACGCATGTCGACACGAGCCTACAAGATCTTAGCTCATCTTTCTTTTCCAGGCTGCGCTGTTGGACCGAGCCGCTGGGCTTGCAGAGGCCCGAGGGAGGGCCGGAGCGTTGCAATGTAGAATGAAGATTCCAAAGAGGATCCCAGCGGCTTCCTGCCATGTCCGGTATGTCCCGTCGAGTTACTAGAGAAAAGCGGTTGAATAGTTTTGCTGAAATGCCATCTTGGTCCAATGTCAGCAGGTCATCAGAATCTACCAGAGGTTTCTTGTGGGAAGCCCAGCTCGAATCTCATGCGGTGGGGACGGTCTCCCGATCGATCTCTAAGGCGAGCTTGCATGAGGAGGACCTCCTATGCCCCTGCCCCAGCAACAGGGGGGCATACTCAGACCAGTGTAGCAAAGATGTTTGAGGTGGAATCTATCGGCCATGCAGTGTGCAACCTGCCTGAATCATGTTGTTCCATTTGGCTCGACCACGTCACGAAGCACACCTGAGGTTGCAAAACCTGCTGCTGGCCTTGCAGGGAATCCAATCGAAGCCATGCAGTGTGGCAATCTCAGCTTCTGCACATGACGCGAATTTGCCACTTGAATTGAAGAGCTTGTCTTCTTTAATTTTGAGGCCACGCTGCATGCCTGGCTCGCAGGCACCGTTGCTTGGCAGCCAAAGTTCATATCCAAGGAGAGCATTAACTAAGTGAAAAGGATTGAAATGGGCATTAAGCCCAGGACTTCCTGGAGCGCCTTGGACGCGTGCTGCAAGGTGGCAGGTACCGCCGGAAACTCAGGCTGCCGGCCGTTCAAAGAGCTACGGCGACCAACCGCGAGTAAGGCATGGCTTATGGGCATGCAGTTGCCCTCGTCTTCCAGGTGGCTACGCAGATGACATGTAGCTCAGCAGGATTGGTGTCCCACTAACAATCAAGAAGACTGAGAGTGAACATGGCAGCGGCGGTCTGATCAACATTGCAAGCAAAAAGTGTGGCAGAGTCTAAGCATAAACTCGAACCAGTAGCCCCAAATCAGTATGTATAACCGCACTCGCCCCCATCATCATCAAAATTATCATCATCTGTCAGCGTCATCGTCATCATCATAGCCAAGACTCATAACCGTAGTCATCATAGAATAGAGTGTTACAAGCGCTGCAGCATCCTTTCTTGATGACTAGACTGGAAGTAGTCAGGTTCATTCCCAATGCGAACGATTGCCCTGAGAATCCGATCGTATGAGTTAGAGAGTACGCAAGGTTGAGGAGTCACATGTTGCCGTTGAATCGCAGCAGTGACAGTCAGTATGGGTAGGGGTTACTAAGTTACAATGTCCTCGGCCCACTTGTCAGCCGAGGCAAGGCGTATATTGCCAGGATGGACTTAGAGCCGAAACACTCTGCAACAATCTGCGAAAATGTGAACAAGCTCATGAAGGTCATGCAGCCCCTGGGACCTGCGTGTTGACTATTGGAGCTCTCCAGGTACCACAGTGCCGCAGTTGGCAGTGAACCTGAATCTAAGGATGTGGTCCGACATCAATCGGCCGAGTCCGAGCGGCACCTGGAGCAAATCCTTGCAGGAAGCCATGGACACCAGCCTTCCTGAGCAGCTCGACTGCAATCGTTATGTAAAAACGGCAGTCCCGGTTCACAGCAAGTTTGCAAGAGATGGATCTGGAAAGCTTGAAGGTTTGTGGACCTTTTGGAGCAGCTCCTGCCAGCAGCGCATGCCGCTCCACCTGACCTATATGTTGTCAGCCACAGCTTGCCAGGGGTTTTCGCGAGGGTCCACACAAGGGCACGAGTATGATTCACGGTATGGACGGTTGACCCATGCCGACCTTGAGGCACCAAGCCCTGTTGTCTTGCCGGCACGATTGGAGCCAGCGAGCGGAGCACATTGACCGCATGTCAGAACCTTAGACCTCGGACTTGGGAATGACAGGACAAGTTGAAGGAGTGGACGCGGACTGAATTGGACAACATTAACGTCATCCTGGGCTTGACGAGCATCTTGCCGGCCCATAGTTATCAGGAAACGGGGGGTGACCAACAAGCGGATTCAACACACCTCATTTGGTTAGTCGCACACTGCAATGCTTAGACAGGACTTTCACAATCCGCAATCTAAACCACTAAGGTATCGCAGGGTTTCTTGTGCGTTGAATGGCTTTGAATGGCCGATTCTGCCAGGTCTAGCTCCAGTACGCAAACAGGGGCCGCACCTTCTACTGGTAGCTTCTAGGTCCTTCTTTTCCTTCTTTGCGAATACCTGGATATCAGAAGTGTGTGTCCTAGGTTCACCTCCACCGAGACCCATGCCGTCCTTCTGCAAGTGTGAGGTCTGAGTCAGGCTGTTCAGACCTGGAGAAAGCATGGAAACAAGCGGGGGTTGTTCTAAACTTTGCGAAGGATGATATACCATAATGGGGACCAAAAGATCAATGTTTGAAACAGCCCTCTTAATTCAATCTGTCGAGCACCTGCATGCCTGGCCTGTAGCTGCAGCTCTTCATCCTTACTGTCTTTACTCTAACAGATCGTTGACACACAACGATTTTGCACGGACAGCTCTGCAGTTCCCTTCAAGCTCCGAGCTACAGGCTATTTTGTTCAGTTCCTATCTCATAATGTTAGGCTCACGCCCTCGGCCTCTTACAGCCGCTTCGGGCGTCTGGAATTCGCTTGGCACTGCACGAACTTGGCCTCCTGCTCCTTTTCGGGCAGCGTTGGCCAAAAAGTTGTTATAGTTTTGAAGGCAGATAAGAGCCTTTTTGAGGGGTGTCAGGTACATCATCACCACTCATTCCACTCATCTCGCTCCAAGAGCCACAGAGTGCCGAATGACGTTTTGCAGGCAAAGTTCCGCGCTAAGATTGATGGTGATCATGCCAAGTTACGAGCCTACGCAGATAGCACCCCACAAGCCTGCATTGATGTCTTGAGGCCTTCCCGTCAGTTCCGCCCATTTGGCAATCTGGCGAAGCAGCTGGGTTTGCGCACTTACGGGACAAAACAGACCCTGGCCCTTCCATAAGGGGAACCTCCAACTCCAAACGAGTGCCTGTTGTCGGGGCTTTAATTTTCACAGCGGGGTAACACTATCAGGTTCTTACATTGAGGGCAAAAAGGATTTAGTCACTGGCACCGCGCTGTGTCAGCAGTCGGTTCCGCGTGCTCCAAAATCGTGTTTGTTGCCACTCTCCTGCGAAACTCCGTCCGCTCAGGATGCCGAGTTCCGTGCAAGGTAGGATTTCCTGCTCTCGCCACGCGGGCCGTGCACACTTTGGGATGGGGTTGCCGTGCCTCCCCCCACAGTGACAGAGCCGCTCGTAGTTTCAAAACGCTGGAAGACTCGGAAGTCGTCGGAGAGCCAGGGGGTTTTTTGCCTCCCGGGCTTTTCGGAAATCGCCGTTCTTTTGGAGTTCCCGAAGTCAGTCATAGCCGCCTCCAGAAGGCGTGCAAGGTCTTCCGTCGCCACAATGACACGCATTTTCTGTGTCACCTTGGAACAGTCCATGGACCCTGGCATGTTGTTGGAAAGATTCCTGGATGTGTATGTAGGACTTGGACGACTATGTCAGGTGGTCTTTCGCTCCAGTCCCGAGATGCGAAGTCAATGCGAAGCAAGTCCGAGACAACTTGAGTCGGGCTGCCAGCCATGGATTGGCAGTTTCAGGGAGGGTAACAATAGATACGCGTTGGGTCTTTGTCTCCGAATGTGCAGGGGGGAACGTAGCACGCTGCTTGAGGCGTTCCAAGGCGAGCCGACGTCCGCAAGATAAGAGCGCTCAAACCAACACAGAGGGAGATGTTTGGCGCCATGGTACAGACACTGGCAGGTAGCACATCAAACTGAGAGCCAGAGCGGCCCCATCCGATTCCGCATTCAGTGTCGGCAAGCCACACACACACATCTCTAAGCCCAGACAGACCTGCACCTGCATGGCCGCCGCAGACACAAGAGAGTCAGAGACAGTGTTCTTCTAAAAGGAAACGGCTTGCCAGCTGCCTCTGTCATTCCGTCATGGTGCCTTGGATGCTGTTTCAATGCTTTCCCAGACCCGGGTCGTGACGGTTAGAATGATCGACCACGCCTGGCTCAGGCGACGACAGTGAAGGTGGTAAGCAGGGGGAAGCGCCTTTGATGCAAATGATTGGCAAATGTGCAGGCATTGTGACCAGATCGAATCATCAAGGAAAGCCTTGTGGGCCCTGTTGCGAGTAAGGTGGGAGCCGGGTATGCAGGCAGCAGCCCCGGCATTTCTCCAATCCAATCATGCTCATGGCATTTAACCGCTAGCGCGAGCGCCTCTGCTCCAATCGCGAATGGGGGGAGGCGGGGGGGGGGGTAAGGAACGACAGGGGTCCTTCATGTTTTGCGTAGCCGTTTTTCGCGTGTTGCCAAGAGTTAAGCCAGCGGGGGGAAGGAAGAAGCCGGAGGAAGCCAGAAGAGAGAGGACTTGCCGACCGGGTTGTGACGGAAGTCTGAGGGGCAGACCAAGCCAGATACACTCCATGGTCCCCCTACCAACCCTTCCCAAAACCCAAAAAGTCGAAGCCAAAAAGCCGATCGATGTTGATAAAAGGGGTGGGTACTATAGCATGAATGGTGCCGAGGTCCCTAGTTTCCGATCTAAACGCCCCGGGCCTCCGGCCTTGGCAGACTACGCTTTGTGCCGGTCGAAGAGCTAGGAATCTGACATGATGGACCAGCTGCCGGACGGTGAAAGTCGGGTTGATGCCGAGCGTGTCACTTAAAAGTCCGCTTGCACGGGCAAAGCACATGCACCTACATCAGCATGGAGCCACATCAATGTTCTTGGACATTGAGGACGGAGCAGATAATGCTGGTTTCACTGGGTTGCTTCTGCGGCCCGTTCTCCGGCAAGGATGAAGCTGTCGACTCGAGCCACCATGCTGGCGCCGATTGAGTACGAAAGCAGCAGTGCATCTGTGGCTAAGGAAGCTCTCCTTCAAGAACATCGGCAGAGGTGCTGAGACACTGCCCTTTGACTGGATGCGAACACGGCATGAGGTGGGAAGTTTGTCAAGAGCACAGACACAAATTGCCGGTCGAACTGCTTCTGTGGGTGTCAGAGGTGTCAGACCGCTCAAGAGCCCAAATGTCTGTCAGGGTTTGGTACATTTTTTGCGGAATGGCTGGGACGAGAGCACTGGTTGGAATGGTGCCTTAGCCTGCAGCTGCGTCATCGCGCTTGAAGCTTGTTTGCCAAGCTGAAATTGCAGTGCTCAGGCTTCTTTGACTTCAATACCAAGAAGGCTGCCGGTGTTGCAGGACATGCCTAAAACGGCAGCAAGGTTGACCGGCCAGTAGCCATGAAAGCACTTTACCACACTGCCCCAGCAGGCAGTGAGACTGTAGCTGACCGCTCAAGCGTTGGCAGGTAGTGCCTGGATGCAGCATGACAACGTACCGCGGTTGCAGGTAGTGCCTTGCTGTAGGGCAGGCAGGGGGTTTGGCTCCTCGGCACAGCGATTGCCCGGCCACCCTGAAGTCTGAATAATGTTGAAGTTTGAAGATACAAGGTTAGACGCTGGCCGAGGTACAGGAGTTACTACCACTCCTTCTGGCACGATGATCCGACCGATCCCGGTATGCACGAGAGATATCTTCGCCGTCGCGGTCTCAGTTCAGATATTGGTGTGCATGGTCTGTCGCCTTCCTGAGGGACCGAAGGCTTATTTTCACTGTCACACAGTTGCAAAATCTTCCCCACTTGCCCTAAATCAGTCTCAGTCACGACATGTCTGAGTGTGGAATTCAGGAGTCTATAGGTGCGGCTTCTTCAGATGCCCTAGGTCCGTGTTGGATTTCGCAGACCCGTTGCTGCACGTAAACCTGCGCAACTGTAGGGGACAAGCACGATCGAAATCCTGTCAACATCTTTCTGGGCAACATATGTATAGCACTTGCACACGGGCGGCTGATACAATGTGCAATCACTGCGAGATGAAGAGCCAGAAAGAGGGCCGTGACGACACTATTGGAAAGCCAGCATGCATCGGAGGCATCCATCGCTTCAACAACATCGATGCCACGTCGAAGCCAGTTCTCTTCGTGCGAACTGTGCCCACGACGGAGGAGCTTAAGGTAGTTCCTGAGCCACTCGCCCGCAACAAACACTCATGCTGCGGAATGAATATGTACACATATATATATATATATATATATTTATTTATATTTGTTTATTTATTTATTTGTGTGGACACACAGATACAACCTGTATACATATCTACATACAGACACACACACACACACACTTGAAGCAGACCTCTTGGTCTGGGGTGTCGCTGGTGATGTGGCTCTGTTTGCTCTGGCTTATTCGTGATCTGCTACTTACTCCTTTTTGTTCTCAGAGGGACCCCAGGCTTGATTGGATGACTTGGTTAAAGTGACATGTGACAGCAACACACGCAGGCTTCACATGGCTGCAGAGCTTGATGCATCCAATGGCTCAAGCACTTCCTGAAAGCCCGCTCTCTGGAATTACAAAACTAGATACAGATACCCAAGCTACGATTCATCGTCGTGGGGCATAGATTGCTTTTTGCACGGACAACAAAAATGACATGGCCAGGGAACGACAGCCATGCCCCCTGCTTCTTGACATCATGCTCATGTCGTTTGGTTCTGATACACTTTAATATTTACTAGCCCTTTGAAACACGGATGGTGAACGCGCGCACACACACACACACGCCAGACCCTGAGCTGCGCTCTCCACATTCTCTACATCGAGATCGAAAATTGTAGCGCCAGATAACTTTGGTGTTAGGATTTGAAGACTTTCCAAGGAAAGCAAGGTAAAGGCTCAAGGCAAGTTGTCTATGATAGAATACTCCACATCAGGGCCAACTTTCCAGAATTCTAGATTTTCCAATGTGGAATAACTCCAGAATTTCAGGTTTGCAAGGCCTCATAATTCCAGATTTTCAAATCTGGAATTATTCCAGAATTCCCCAAATTCCAAATTTACACATCTGGAATTCTGGAATAGTGAGGCCCTGCAGATCTGAAGTTCGTCTGGGATTGTTCCAGATTTGAAAAACTGGAAGGTGGATTTCTGGAACAGTTAAGCCCCGCAGATCGGGAATTTCGGAAGAGTCAAGGCTCCTCATGTCGGGATTTCTGGAGTAGTTCCAGATTTTGGTCCTTTAGGGCTATACGAAATTGTCTTGTTTTGGAAGCAATGCGAATTCATGATATCAAGTCACAATAATGGTTTGTGACTGTTGTGTCCGGCGATCGATAACATGCGCTGACCTTTTTCCCGATCATGTCCGTTTAGCTCTGCGCACATCCCTGTGGCAGCATGGGTGTTAC